AGCCTTGTCCCAGGCCAGGAAAAGGGCCGTCCTCCAGATACCCACACCAACTACCAAGAATCAGGTATGAGAATTCCTAGGTGTAGCTGGATTCTGTCGTCTATGGATACCTGGATTTGCTGAGATAGCACAGCCCCTCCATTCTGCCTCCAGAGGAAATCAACCCACAGAATGGGGATTAGATGAAGGAAAGGTCTTCCAGAATCTGAAAAAGGCTCTGGTATCAGCTCCGGCTCTGCCACTACCCAATGTTACTCATCCATGAGGTAAGAGGGACTCCTAAGGAAGCCCTAATGCAGTCCTTGGGACCCTGGAAGTGCCCTGTGGCCTATCTCTCTAAAAGATTAAATCCTTTGGGACTGGGGATTTAGCTCAGTGGTTCCACCACCTGTCTCACAAGCAGAAGGTCCTGAGTTCGATCCCCAGTACCAAAAAAAGATTAGATCCTGTGGCTTCAGGATGGCCTTCATGTCTTTGGGTGGTAGTGGCCACAGCTTTGTTGGTCAAGGAGGCTGATAAGTTGACCCTTGGACAGGACCTGGTCCTAACTGCCCCTCATTCAGTAGAGACTCTGCTCAGGGAGGCTACTAACAAATGGCTGTCAAATGCCTGCCTCACTCAGTATCAAAGCCTCTTGCTCGGCCAGCCTTGCATGGTCTCCTCAGCAGGACAGGTTCTCAATCCAGCCTCACTGATACCAGATGATGACCCAGCATCCCAATTCAGGACTCTGAGGAGGTGCTGGACCAGACCCAGGGGGGCCAATTGGACTTCACAGACACCCCCTGGCTGAGGCAGATGCCACCCTCTTCACAGATGGAAGCAGCATGGTGGTGAGTGGGGTGTGGAGGGCGGGACCTGCAGTGACTACAGTTGATCAAGTCATTTGGGCCCAGCCTGTGCCTGAGGGGGTTCAGCCCAAAAGGCAGAACTGATTACCTTGGGCCAGGCCTTGAGATGGGGAAAGGAAAAGATAAATGTGTACACTGACAGTAGGTATGCCTTTGCTACTCTACATGTCCATGCGAGGATCTACAAGGAGAGAGGGCTTCTGAGAGCTGCAGGAAAGACTGTCAAGAACAAAGAAGAGATATTGTCTCTCTGAGAGGTGGCATGGCTTCCCAAGAAAGTGGCCATCATTCATGTTTGGGGTCACCAAAAGGATAGCACACCTGAGACTAAGTGAAATCAACTTGCAGACTGTGCAGCCAGAGAGGCAGACCTGAGGCCAGCTGAACCCTTAGTCATTTTGCCTACCATGAGTCCTCCTCCCCCTTTGCTCCCAGCTAGCCTTACTTACAATGAAGAGGAAGGTAAAGAAGCAAGCCAGCTGCAAGTAAAGAAAGATCCCCAAGGCTGGTGGAAATGTCCAGAGGGTCACATCTACTTCCCTCAGGCATTGGGACAACAGCTCATCCAGAAGCTGCATTCTGTCATGCACCTGGTGGGCTCCAAGCTGACTGAGATTCTAGCTCCAAGATACTGCTTTTCAAAGCTGCAAGAGCTGGCCCACCAGTCCTCTCTTAGGTGCCCAACCTGTGTACAAGTAAATCCCCACCAGAGCCCATCTACACCCCTTGGGGTCAGATTCTGGGGTAGGAATCCTGGAGAACACTGGGAAGTGGATTTCACAGAAATCAAATCACCAGCGGGTGTCTATTGCTACCTCCTGGCTTTCACAGATACCTTCTCAGGTTGGGCAGAGGTCTATGCTACTCAGTGGGAGACTGCCACTAGTAGCTAAGAAACTTCTTCTGGAATTAATTACCAGATTTGGACTACCAGTGTCCATTGGATCTGACAATGGCCCCGCCTTTGTAGCCTCTATAACTCAGTCAGTAGGGCGCTGGGTATAAATTGGAAACTCCACTATGCCTACCAACCTCAAAGCTCAGGGCAAGTAGAACAGATGAATCAGACCCTAAAATCTACTCTGACTAAATTGATGTTGGAAACTGGTGAAGGATGGGTCAGCCTGCTGCCTTTGGCTGTCCTTAGAGTTAGATGCACCCCTTATAAAGCAGGTTTTACTCCTTATGAAATTATGTTTGGCAGGCCCCCTCCCCTGCTCCCCAAGATTAAAAGTGAGACACTAGAAGAATTTTCTAACCAGTCCCTGTTTAAGTATCTCCAGTCTCTTCAACAGGTATAGAAAATTATTCACTCCCAGGTACAAACTACTCAGCCCCTGCCCAGCTCTACACTGTGCCACCCGTTCCAGCCCGGGGATACTGTCTTCATCAAGGCCTTGTGGAGTAAAGGACTGACTCCAGCCTGGAAGGGACCCTACATGGTCATCCTCACTGTGCCCTCAGCTCTCAAGGTCGACAGACTCTCCATTTGGGATCACCATTCACCTGTCAAGTGGGTGAAACAGTGGACTGCTGAGCTGGGAGCTGACCCTTTAAAGCTAAGGCTGGTCCGATCATGATTGTGATGCTTGTCCTTATTGTCCTTGGGCTGATGAGGCTGAACGCTGGGGAGATGCAATGAGGAGAGGTGTACTCCTTTCTCCTATCTCCTTTAGCTCAGGAGAGATTCTAGGTAATGTCACTTTTGGTGCCACCCTCCTCTGGCAACCTCTCAGATTGCCTGAGGTCAATCTCTGTAAATTAGTTAGGAGAGACTGGGGAAGCGACTACTATCAGTTCATAAACATGAGAAGCTATGACTTTTAAGCATGTCCAGGGTTCAATCTGTTTGGAAGGCAGGGTTGTGGGTCCCCAACTGATCATTTCTACTGCCCTAACTGGGGCTGTGTAAAGATCGCCTCCTATAGTGGGGGACCAATGTCACTAATGATATCACAGTTTGGAAACGTGAGTGCCGAGTCACGATTCTGATACAAAGGCCCTGGGACTCTAAATGGGCCACAGGATGGAACTGGGGTTTCTGCTTCTGGCTCCCTGGAGGATTAATTCCTGACCCAGGGAAAATCATTACCTTTCAGACCCCGTTGCTAAGCCGAGCACCGAGACAGCCAATAGGACCCTTAATGAAGGTAAAGGACCCCTTACTTGAGCCTCACCCTGTTATCCCTCCCTCAAAGGGTCTGCTCTTAGCTACCAATAAAGCTCCATGCTGGGAGCGGTCCACACTATGTTAAACCTGACTCAACCAGACCTGGCTCAGGACTGTTGGCTCTGTCTAAAAGCAAAGCCTCCTTATTATGTGGGTGTGAGAGTCTTGAGCTCAATAAAAGCCTCAAGTACTGCCTTAGCATGGACTTCTGCAAAGCCCCCCTTGACAACTGGTGAGGTTTATGGAAATGCAACCTGTCTGGCAACTCCTTCTTAAGATATGAGTAACTCCCCTTTTCATGCTGTGTGCAGCCAAATGGTGACTCTGGAGACCTTGAAGGTTTATTCTGCCCCTACTGGTACTTGGCTAGCTTGTACCTCAGGACTCACTAGGTGTGTCAGAATTCCTGAGGGAGATACTAGACCTGAAGTCTTGTGCATCCTGGTACAAGTTCTTCCTCAAGTTTATGTGTATAGAGGACTGCAGGGATGGGATTTCATAGCACCCCCAGGACTACTGTACAGACAGAACTGAGCAGCCCCCATAGTTATTCCAGTTTTGTTGGGATTGAGGGTAGCTGGTTCAGTGGCACTTGGAACTGCTGCATTAGCTAAAGGAGACCTTGGACTCTCAGCTTTGGCAGAACAGGTAGACCCTGACCTAGGAAGCCTGCAATATGCCATTGAGACTCTGCACTCCTGTACAGTCACTAGCTGAGGTGGTCCTCCAGAATCCAAGGGGGCTTGATCTAGTGCTCATGTCACGAGGAGGATTATGTGCTGCTCTAGGGGAGGCATGTTGTTTCTAGGCCAACAAGTCAGGTGTAATCCACAATACCCTTCAAAAGGTCAAGGAAAATCTAGACAGATGTCAGGAGAGGGAAAGTAAAAACTCGTGGTATCATAACCTGTTAACCTGTTCAATCGGAGGCCTTGGGTAACAACCCTCAACACTGGACTGGCTGGTCCCCTCATCCTGCTTTCTTTCGGGCTCTTGATAGGCCCTTGTATTCTTAATTGGATAATCAGCTTTGTAAAACAACATGTAGCCCCTATTAAACTGATGTATGTGAGATCCTACTACAATCCCTTGTATAACCCCCTGCCCAATCAAGAGGGTCTTACTGAGTCATCGCTTTGACATCATGCTTGGAGGAGTTGAGAATGTCAGAGCCAACCCAACCCCATCTTGAGCCTGAAGATCAGCTTGTACCTGTGCTTAGACAAAGTGCTTCTCCTTGGACAAAGCACCCAACCCCCGCATCCTGTTTGGCAGTAAACTTGCTGCAGGACCAGGGATTTAGCTCAGTGGTGCTGCTGCCTGCCTCACAAGCAACAGGTCCCGAGTTCAATCCCTGGTACCAAAAAAATAAATAAATACATAAACTTGCTGCAGTTGCAGGATGTTTTGTAGCTCACCTAGTATGTGAAACTTGCTTGTGCCCCCCACTAACCTGGCATGTTTCTGCTCCTGTAAGATTCCGCTTGCTCTCACAAACGGAAAGCGTGATTTAAAGGAGAGATCAAACTGCCTCCCACTGCCAAGAGAGCTTTCCGGGCACTAGCCCCTCTTGGCTGCCAGCTGTAAAAAACGGGTTCGAATGTGACACAGAGTGTGGTGCGTCTCCATTCTTCTAACTCGCTCCTCCGTAACAAAGCAGCCCTGAGAAGGGAACCTCAGCACACAGACTGTGAGGGGTGCTGAGGGGTGTGGGGCAACTTTGTCCAGAAGGAGGAGAAAACCTGGAACAGCATTGTGTTGAGGCCAGACCTGGGACAGGAAATAGCCCTGGTTTTACAAACAAACCTTTGAATGACCCGAATGAGAACCAGGACACTCTGGTCTTCTAGGCAATTTGAGGAGCGCAGCTGTACCCCATAGGAGATAAACTGAATCTGGGGAATCTAGAGGCCCATGTCAGTAGACCACAGCGCTATTTAATTGTGGGCTCAGAACCCTAAGAACGGTGAACAGGTTTGGGCTCTGCAAAGGCTCTTTGTCTCCTGTGCCCCAGCCTCTTGCCAGGCATCCTGTGCAGGGCAGGAGGGGCCAGCAGAGTGCAGCCCTGGAGGATGAGCAGCAGCTCTCTGGGTCCTAGCACCTGCCCCTCCTCACTTTGCTCTTGGCACTCAGCAAGAAGCACCCTACCTCACAGGCCGCCTGTGCCTGAGTCCTGGTGCCCGTTCACGCTTGGAAGCAGAAGGATCCATAGTGCATGGCAAGAATTCCACACACGGGGCTCTGAGGTAAGGAGGTTCAGCAGTGGCTGGGGCTTCACAGTGGGAAAGCTCCCTCCTCCTCCTTCCGGGCCCGGAATCATTCCTTCAAAATCATTGCCCGGAATCATTCCTTCAAAATCATTGCCCTCGACCGCAAGAAACTGCATACGCCTGTGCGACTGAGGAGATGTCACAAAGGTGGGATTGCAGAGACACCGTGTTAGACCTCGCCAACGTGCTGCTGGGGGGACAGGGAAGCTTGAGGGACTGCGTGGGGCTTTTAACGTCTAACAGGCACACGTGAGTAATTACATACATACTTAGGTAAACACCAGCCTTTGAATCCTGCCATTTCGGGGAAGTGCTGGGGAAAAGGCAAGCATCCTGGACTCCGATATTTTCAGGTGTGTAGATTTATGGGCTTCCCAGCCCCTGAACAATCAAAGCAAGACTTTTAGCAGGAAGACAGCAGGCAGAACTGCTGAGGTGATGGACATCAGTGGGGGGCTCCCACTCTTGGGGCCCACACAGTAGGAACGGACATTTGTGCCATTCACAATACTCAATTCCAAGTTGCAGGCAGATTCCGTTGCACAGCCCATACCAAATAGGGCGAAGTAAGGGATGCGATTAATTGTGACTGTGGAGAGAAAGGCCCAGGAGTTAGTCTTGTCTGGAGTCATCTCTCGCTCCCCACCCTCATCCTGCTTCCCTCAGGGAGCAGAAGTGCTCAGAAGGCCCAGGACACAGGATTCTGTCTTTTACATGAGAAGCACAAGCAAGCTCCACCTCATCGAGGACAAAGTCTGACTTTTCCCTGGTCCCTTTGTCTGTCCAGGGCATGAGCGAATTTAAAGGGACCCTGATGTCTGAGATAGGAGATGTGACTGAAGCTTTGGACTCTCTTTAGAAGACAGGTGGGTGATTCAGGGAAGGAGGCTGGAGGCTGGACCTCATGTGATTGTCTAGAAACCTTCCACTGTATCTGTCCTCCTCCTTCCCTTTGCTTCCCTGGGGAAAGCACAGTGAAATACTATAGTGCTCCCTCAAGGTGATATCCCGCCTTCCAGTGGGTTCTGACTTTCTTGGGAGAACAACACCATGAAAACTTACTGCACTTCTGCACTTCACATGGCAAACCGGGGCGGCAAACCGGGACAGAAAGCCTGTCCCACAGTCACCAACTGCAACCCCCTCCGTGTCCTACATGACATCCCGTGTCCCTCATTCATCTCCACGCTTCCAGACAGAGGACCATTATCTTGCTAGTTTTAAACTCTCTCTCAAAATCCTCTTTTTGCAAGAGCATAACTGAGTATACAATTAAAGTGGTTGGAAATTCATTCTTACCTTTAGGAAAGGGGACAGGATAATAATTTCAACCATAAGGTTGAACTCTCCTAGGGTTTGAGCATTTACTTGCTTACCGCTTACCAAAGTATGAGTATACAATTCATATGACAAATATTACCGTCACGTTCTGTCACTGGTCTACTAATATGTGCAGTAAATATATATTTTTTTTTTTTTGGTACCAGGGATCGAACTCAGGTCCTTGCGCTTGCGAGGCAGGCGCCAGAACCACTGAGCTAAATCCCTGGCCCAATAGTTCCTTATAATTTTAAAAGCACAGTTTGCCTTCATCCCCACCAAACTCCCGGTCTCATTGTTTAGTCAGTCCCTACTTCCATGAAGCTTTCTACAAGTGTACCAAGGAAGAATGGACAGGGCTGCATCTAGCTGCACCACACCCAAGGGAAAACCCTATGGCTGCTCTCCACTTCCTCTCTGAGTAGTGCCTGCACCCTTCCCCAGGTAGATATTCTCCTCCTGCTCAGAAGGATTACAGATATTTCCTGATTGCGGATGGACACCATGCAGAAATGAAGTGCTTATGCATGGGGCTGGGGTAATAACAGGGATGACAGTGAGGTTGACAGCCAGGCCTGAAATGCCCTCCCCCCTTCTTGGCCAATGAGCCAAGGTCCGAATCTGGACACCACAGTGATGCCATGCCCAGAAGTCTCGGCGTCTGCTCTAGGAAGAGTTGCCCTCTTCTCTCCTTGTTTCCTCTCCTCTCTTCTTTCCCCTGCAATGGCTTCACCCAAAGCTTGGAGGGAGCACCCAGCACTTGGTCCTGCAGCACGGTCACCACAGGTAAAAGTCAGCCTCCATAGGGCCCAGCAGTTCCATCCCCTGGCAAAGGTGCCTTGGGTGCCTGCCTCCCATGCTGCGTCAGGGTTGGCCTTAGGTTGGTCTCTGGGACCGAAAGGGAGAAGGAGAAGTGGTGACACGTCACTTCTGAGATTAGGCTATTGAGGGCTCGCTCTTTCTGAGGGTCTCCTCAGTTTCCCAGCTGATCCATATTCAGGACACCCCACAACCTGTGCAGAGGCCACTCACAGAGGACCTGAGGCTGCCAGAAGCCAGCAGTGAGCTGGGAAGCGGGTCATCCCTCAGTGGCCACAGTCCCGCAGCCAACATGACTGCAGTGTCACAAGACACCCTGACCAGAACCAGAACCACCCTGCTGTGCCGCGTCCAGATTCTGGAGCCGCACCTGCAGACAGCCCAGGAACTGCCCCCTCTCAGAGAGGAACAGCAGAGGGCTTGGGGCAGGGCCATACCTGTGCCGACCACCTCAATGCACTTTGTCTCTGCCCCAGTGCATTGTAAGTGGACTGGGTTACAGGACAGGTTGGTTTCATTGTAGCAAGCAGGGCACTCGATGCCATTGGGGTTTGAGGACTTTGGGGTCACTGAAGGAAGAAAGAAAATGTTCATCTTAGGGAATAGAGAGAAAAGCTTCCAAGATTACTACTATTCCCTAATAGCATAGTTATTCCCAGATTCCTCAAAGGGAGCGCAAGCAGCACAGTGTGGGGAAAGGTTATTAGGTGGGGGAAACATAATTAGGACAAAAGGGCTTCAGAAATCTAGGGCTACCTTCCTTTCACCAGTCACTCCTCTGTGGCCTGGCTGGGGGAAAACAGCCAGACCACGGGTGAGAAAATAATCCGTGGTCTAAAAAGGTTCTCCTAACGGGGGGAGGAACTGAATGGTGCAGCTTCCCAGCTGGAATGGCAGGGAAGCCTTTCCTTCCAAGGGCTCATCCTTAGAGAAAACCCATAGGGTGACCCAGCGGGACCAGCGACAGCCAACCTGCCCTTCACAGGGAAAGCCCGGGGAGAGGAGGGGTCAGCACCAGGCAGGCGCGAAGCCCAGTGTGGGGGACCAGGCTGGCCGGGAGGGAGGGGCACTCACGAGGTACATTCTCCTTATTGCACTGCTTGCCCTGGCAGCACCGGCGGTCATAGCTGAACGTCGTCCTGTCCCCGAATGTCACCGAGAAGGCCAGTGGAGCACAGGCTCCTAAGGAGCAGCCTTTCTCCTGGACCAAGTCAATTTGCTGTCCTGCGTGGAAGCAAACCCAGCAGAGAATTGCCCTCCTGAGCCAGGGCCAGACTGACGCCTAGACGGGCAGTCGTAGTCCAGGAGCGAGGCCTTTATTCCCGTGGTCTTCAGCTTTTCCACTTTTCCAAAGAGTGCTGCATGGGTCGTTTGCCCGGGGAACCACGGAGAAGGGGCTTACTAGAAAGGGAGCCTGTGCCAGAGCCCTGGCAGGGCATGACTGGAGCCTGGGTCAGGCACACTGGCCCAGGAGGCTGGGGAGGTACCGGGAACACCCGAGCCTGTCCCCAGAGTCTGCGTTGGCCCCACTCAGCTCCATGCTGCTAGGACATTGTGGAAGGAGCCAAGGATGAAGGAAAGATGCCAAAGGGAGCAGAAGGCCATGGTTCGTGAGCCAGATGAGCCCTCTCTCCCGGTGCCATCTCTGTCTGCCCCATGTGGCTGGCAGCACAGGCAGCTGTCAGGTGTGGCTTACCCGAGAAGCTGAATTCCTGCTGGAGGCTGAAGCAGGCTTGGGAGGGGGCACAGGTCGCCGTCAGGTTAGACCTGCATTGCTTCCGGGAGCAGCTTGTACACACATAGCTCTCTAAGGGGGAAACAAGCATTGCTCAAAAGGCAAACTGAAGAAGGAAAACCACAGAGCACGGCAGTTGATGTTTGCAATAGACGACTGTTCCTGGTAATCAAGGTGCTGCAAAACCTCCCTAGGGACCGGGTGGAGCCCGAGATCCTGGCCAAGCTCAGCAGTCCCACTCTGAGGGACAGCACTGCCCACCCTGCCCGTCCCATCTTGGGGAGCGAGAGGCCTGCGTTTATTCTTACCCACAGTGGTGAGCAGGAAGGCAGCGGAGACACAGAGGGCGAAGACATGCTGCAGGTTGGAGGGCCCGAGCATGGTGACTGCAGACGCCCTGCAAAGGCCCAGGTGGAGGCTAAGGGTCTCGCCCAGCAAGCTCAGTGCAGACCGTGGCGCCGATTCACTCCTGCACACACGGCTTCATGAGTCCTCTTGGCAAGAGACCATTGAGGGCACCAGAGGACACGTGCTTTATCCCAGGAAGGCTTCCTGGGCAGGGGATTCTTTCCTGCTCAGTGTGGAAGGTGTTGGAGCTCCCCAGAGCTGGAATGGGGTGCCAGGCAAGATGCAGAAATGACTCCTCCAGGGAGCAGGGCAGGTGCAGCCTGCCCGAGTGTGGAAGGCCTTGGGCCATCGTACTCAGAGACAAGCAGCCTCTCAGCTAAGGGCAGGGCTTCCTCACATCCACAGCCACTTCCCCGACAGCCAGCCTCCCCCACAGGGCACATGCTCACCCTCAGTCGGCTCTGGTTCTTCAGCAGGCCTTTTTTCTGAGCTGCCAGGAAGGAAAGTGTTCTCACCTGAGGGGAAGAGGGAACTTGGCTCTTTCGCTGCCTCCCACGTACCTTTATATGACCAGTGTTCAAACAGCTTGTCAGTTAAAGCTCCCTAGATAAGACACAATCTTGGGAGGAATTCAAGTGCACCAAACCACAAGAATCTTCCTGAAAGGTGCTGGGCAACCCCTGGTTCTGAGCCTGTAGCTGGCAGGAGCAGGATGTAGGGAGCTTCCCGTGCCTCCGGGCTTCGTTTCATGACCACAGAGGAGCCCAGAGACTCACTCCCTACATCCTATGGGCATCCAGAGGTACCTTGGATGCCACTGCAGACCCCAGCCTTTCTTTCTGGACTCTGAGTCAGTCCATACTTACTAGAGAAACAGATGTAACACAAGATACTCAAATCTGTCTAAATCTACAAGATTGCCTTACAGTGGCCTCCCACAGAGGGGGACGAGGAGGAGTCCAGAGGGTTGTCTGCCACTGGACCCCGAAGGGATTAGTCACAGGTCTGGAGCTCACGCCAGTGCCTGGTGGGAGTCCTATCAGGAGGCCGAGTGTCTGCACTGGAAGGCAGGCAATGATGTCTAAGGCAAAGACTAGAGCTCCTCTGGAGGAGCAGAAGCAGCAGAGTCCTTCCTCAATTCTCCTTTAAAACAAGCAGGCAATGAGCCACTCCAGGGTGGCCCTGCTGTCCCATGGGGCCATCTATGCCCTATGGAATTGCTGAGTGAATTTCTCTAAGCTTCTCTTAATTAAACCTCTCAAATTGATGCCATCAATCAACCATCACAGACTCTGTCAGAGCTTCCTCCCCTTCCTCCCCAGAACCAGGCCCTACTCCCCTCTCTGGAGACAAACTGGATGTCCTTCTCTACCACATCTCCTCCTTCTGCCAGGTTTTATGCTTGTCAATTATTACAGCATAAGCTCTAGGTCAGGCTACTTGTTTGAAATGGAAGTGAATGGCTAAAGTAGAAGGATTCATAACTTCAGTCCACCCTCCCACCACAGGTTAGACAGTGGACCGCAGTCTGAAAACACAGGGTGTTGTGGTGTGGGGAGGAGCCCCCATGGGAGCCAAGTGAGTGAGGCTCCCAGAGAAAAAGCAGCAGGTGGGGTGTGGAAGGCTGGGGCAGGTGTCGAGGTTAGCGGGGCTTTGCTGGAATTTCTACCAAGGCCTGGAGAGGTGGAGGGAATGTGGATGCCAACCCTGTAGGTTCCTGATTTTCAGACAAGTGGGCAAAGAACTTGAGGGACACAGAAACCTGACCTTGGACTTGCCAAGCCCTCAGAGGTGGTTAGGGTGGGAATGATCTTTAATCAAAGATGAGGAATCCAGCATCCTTTCCAGAGCAAATGATGGTTGGATACCCTTGCTAGCACCCTACAAAACACAGCAAGGATCTGTTACACAATTCCTGATGTTCTTTCTAAAAATGCATCACCAATGGTTCATTCAAAGATACTGGATTTTGCCAACCTGGGTGGAGACGTCGGGCTCCCTGCTATTGGGATTCACGAGCTCCCCACCCCTACCCATCCCTACTCCACCACATCAGATTCATCCTCTGTACGTGTGAGTCGTGGCCCAATATCCATTTTCTGGTAATTTACCTCCTAAGAAAGTGAAACCTTTGTCAGGCAGCGCCTGTGAACCCCTGACGTGTCAGCTGAGATAAGATGATATCTGGTACAGAACAGGCAAGGCCAGGGGAGCGCACTTCCGGCAGAGCCTTGACTGAGACCTTGGCTGGATCAATTACCTGGTGATGACCTCAACTTGCAGCGCAGAGAGCAGAAACCCAGCTGGAAGCTACAGATGTTCAGGCCGCAGGACGCAGTCTGCCACAGCAGCTGGAGGGCTGTGGGCCATCGCTCACCTGTCCAGGGAGTGGAAGGACGGTAACCAGCACGGCCCAGCTCTGCGCAACTTCCCGTCCACGGCGAGTCCCAGCGCACCTTTTGTGGCACAGGAAGCTTGGCTATGGGCTGACTTGGGGTCCGGAAGCTGCCACAGCCTCACCACAGGAAACCACTACAGGGGCGGAGAGGGGAAGAAAAGGGAATGAAGGACACCGCGCTCAGCACAGCTTCAGGGGACTCACTGTCTCTAGTTTGTGCCTCAGGGACACACACTCTGCCCACAAAGGTTCCATCGGGAGACACTTTTACTGGGGACCAGAAACATTTTCCTGCACATCCCAGATGAAAATGCTCCTCGGGGGAGGGGGCCACCTTCCAATCAGCCTCCCACCCAGACGTGGCTCTGAGAGACCCCTCTCCCTTCCCAGCTCCCAACAGACTCCTCCACTGAAGTCTACCAGGCTCCTCTGGGAGCTCTTCTCGGGGGGCCTGGGGCCCCCTGTTTCCCCTGACTCCTTGCCCCTGGGGGTCTGTGGGGCCCTTCGTGCTCCTCCAGCCCTCAGCCATGTCAGAGCCCCTGCCTGCCTTCAGCAAGGAACTTTTAGGTGGCCTGGCCAGACCTCCTTCGGCACTGAAGCTTGCTACTGATGCTTTGCCACCACTGGCCCCACACCTCCCACCTGCCTGGGCGTCATTCGGACGAGCTCATCCCTGTCCTCCACTCTAAGACTTCTCCTGTCCAGGCCTCCCTTGAATGAACTCCTCCTTTCCATCCTCAGTGGTACTGAATAGTCTTTGTCTTAGACAACACTCCCCTAGAACCCTGACCCTCAGTCTCCCTCCATAGAGGGAGGCGGGGACCTCGCCCCTCTTTGTGGCTTTCTGTGAGGGCCTCACAAGCCCATCTGTCCACTGAGAAGAGCCGCTGCTTCCCACGCTGCCTGTCTCTGTGCTCACTCTTTTCTGCTCACCGTCAGGCAGAGATCATGTGCACCATTCACTTCCTGCCGAGGCCCTGGATCATTGGGACCCACGGCCCAATGCAGGCCTCCTGCCAGACCAGCTGGCCACCCCCCTATGAGGCAGCCGCTGAGACCCAGCTGTCAGGAGAAGGTGACCGTCCTTGTCTCTGGCCATCCCGTGGCCTTGTTCTGGGTCCTCAGGCAGAAGGGGAAGCTCTGGCCCAGTGGGGACACCAAGAAGCCCCTTCCTGGTGGGAGTCCTCCTCCTGAGGGGTCTCCCTGGTGAGAGGAGTCCGATGCTTGTGCCACAAGCCTTCAGTGGCCTGAGCAGGAAGAGCAGGCTGTGCACCACTGTGAGAAGGGCACAGCTTACCAGGGTGCCAGGACAAGCCTGCTGAGGGCTGGGGTATGAAGGGCTGACGGGTGCTGAGGGGGTGGCTGGAGCCCAGCTTCCCTGCAGGGTTGAGTCCAGCCCTGTGAGCATGGCTGATTCCTACTGGACAGTGGGTCCTGAGCAAAGGTGAAGGGACCGCAGAGGAAAGAGCTGAGTGATGGGGATGCGGTCAGCAAAGGGACCATTCAAGACACATGCCAGCATCCTTTCTTCATCTTGGCAAACAGGTAGGGACAGTGCCGTTGCAATGAAGTATTTCACCTTGGTGCGGATCTTGAGACGTTGATGTTTGGTGGTGGATTTTGGTGTTTGAGTTTTGGTGACACAGAACATCCAGGTTCAGACTTGTCCTTGGGCTAGAACGCTCAGATGGACACAGCCCAGCCTCTTTGGTTAGGGCTTTCATTATCAACCCAGAGCAGCCTGCTGTAGCTTCACCACTGTGGCCATGTCTCTGGGTAGTGACATTTGTGACACAGGACTTGAGCTTCCCAGGAACCTATCAGTTTGCCTATAGTTCACTTCACTGAGCTTAGACTTTAGCTATCCAGTATTGTTTCCACCCTCAGTATTTCTTTGAAGCTATTCTATTCTACTCTCCTGATCCACCGAGTTATTGGTGTGCGAAGGTTGCCATAATAAAGTACAACAGACTGGATGGCACAAACAAGAGAGATTTATTCCCTCACAATTTAGGAAGCTAAAAGTGGGTGGCCCCCGTGTTGGCAGGTTTGTTTTCTCAGGGGCCACACCAACTGAGTTGTAGGTGGTCGTCTCCTCCCTGGGGTCTTCATGCCATCTTCCTTCTGTAGGAGCTGGTGTTCTAATCTCTTCTTACAAGGGCACTTTCAACATTGAACAGCTATCTTCAATTAGATGTTTACACAGGGCCCACATGAATGGCCTCATTTCACTTAATTAATTACTTCTGGAAAGACCCTGTCCAGAATGCAGCTACACTCTGAAGTCTTGGATGTTAAATCGTCAACATGTGAACTTTGAGAGGACACAATTTAGCCATATCAACCAATAATGTTCCATTTCCATGTTTTTATTAATCTACCCATATATTTGAAAATTGTCCTGTGAGTTGCTGAGTGCATTCTGTGTACATATCAGGAATGTTCAGGAGAGTTGAGAGTTCAAGATTTGGGACACCAACTTTAGACTAAAAACTAATTTTGTTTTGTTTTGTTGGTATTTTCTGATGTAATATTTAAAAATTTTTTATTATCACATGTTTGCAGCACATAGTAATCATATTCATCATGGGGGATTTGCACACATACATAACACAACCTAATTTTTTGTCTGCTTCTTCTCCTCTTCCTCCAACTCCTATAATTTTAAAAGGATATTTGGGGAGAGTTGAAGGACTACTGCCTGAGGAGAAGTTGTAGGGTTTTGCCTATTGTTTACCAGGTGGGTACTCAGCAGTAAATAAAGGAAGAGCTGACAAGATGTGTTTCTGGACAGATTTCTAGGGACAGGAGTTGCTCCAGAATCTGTAAGATGAGTGTGTGGACTGATTCTGCATAGTCTGTCCATCTTCTCATTGCCTTTTGCTAAATACAGAGAAAGCACTGACTGTGGGCAATGGGCTCGCCAATGTTCAGGGCCTGGCAGCCATGCAAACAGTAGGTTGAGTTCAACTGAATTGTGGATGTTGACCAAAGAGGAAGAGCTGGAGGTTCAAAGTCGGAAAAATGCCATGTTCCAGAAACTTTTTGTGAGGGTTCAAGGGTTCATATTTGATTTCAATTTGGTTTTGCTTTTTTTTTCTGTTGAAATATTCTGAATGCTACACAGCTAACAGGAAGAAGACTTGAGCTACCAGATGGATGAACTGTTGGCTCTTCTGGAATAGATAGGTGGGTGGGAGGGCAGGAGGGACTCGCTGACCTGGCTCCTGACCCTTGGGTTAGATGTCAGACAAGGAGTGGCTGGACAGGCTGTGAGGGCAAACAGACCTGCTGGTGGTGCATGGGATAAAACTGAGGCACCAGCCAGGGTGCCACTTGTCTATAGGGTTGTGCAGAACAGAAGTCACATTTTCCTGCATGATCAACACCAGTGGAGGGACATCACCCATGTCCATGTGCACATGCGGATGAGCATTATAGCCCCTCAGGACAGTCAGGGCTGAAGTTCCCGTCATGGTATTGGACCTGGGAGTTTGCTGTGTAAAGGTTGCTGTTCCTTAGCTGCCTGTGTAAAACCCAGACCCTAAGTCTGAGGCAGAGGATGGATGCACCACACATTCCAAACACATCCACACCTGGAACAACCCGAAGTGCTACCACCTGTGGCTCCTGCTGAATCTCCCACTCTGGAGCTGCACCTCCCAGTTGCCTACCATTGCTGCTTCGTATGTAATTCCTGCTTCTGTGGCTCTATGTCTTCCCTGTCCATGATGATGTCAACTTTCTGAGCCTGCACATCTATCTGGAGAGTTCATGTGATCAGTTGGACCAGAAGTTCCAAAGTCAAATGAGATTTTGAGGACTTCAGTATAAACACCAGATATTTCCCTGAGGAGCCACCCAGCTGTAGCTAGGATATCGTCACTTGTCACATGCCTACAGCTACGCAAACAGGTTCCCCTGGGGATTTCCTTGTAGAAGCTATAAGACTTGGAGATTAATTTTCTAGCTTTCAGGACCATTTGCATATTGCCTCAATGAACTTGTTTGTAGAGTGAGCAATGCTAAGCCTTTCTGAAAATAGCACTCTCCTAAGTCTCATGTTTTCCTCTTTCTTAGCCTCCTTCATGAGGAAGTGGTTGCTGTAGGTTGACAATAATGTCTGGGTGAGGCTGGTGTTCCTTGATCCTCTCCCAACCATCTTGCTCTCTTTCTGATATATAGTTCATGTGTTTATTGTTGGCCCATAAACAGCATATTTATGGAGTGCCGTGGTGTGTTTTGACGTATGTATACATTTATATATGTACGCTTATTAACTTGTGGTAAAATCTGAATAAGCAAACTTCTACAATTTTTTTGTGTGTGATGAAAACATTAAAAATCCCCTATATATTTTCCAGCAGTTCTTCTTCCCACTTCACTATTTCATGTTCCCCCGTTTCATGAGGTTCTCCTGTTTTGAAATGTCTGGCTACACTGCCTTGCCCAAGTTGTTTCCTCTTTGCTGTCCTGTTATTATGTACATGGTAAGAAGTGTGAGTAGGAGTGTGCATGTGTGTGGGGGGGTTGCCTCTCCATGTGCCTATGTGTAAGGACGTCTTGCTCATGTGTTAGTGCTGAGGTGTTTGGGTTCTGTCAGAACAGGGTGCCTGTAGGAGGCTGCTGTGAGATGACTCAAAGCTCAGGCATCTGAGGATGTCAGAGGGCACCTGAGGACACCAAGTCTGTTGTTTAGTGTAGGCACAGGACAGAGTTTGTTATAATAATAATAAATCAGCATGGACGACCACGCACAACCACACAGCTATGCAAGGTGCGTGGCTGTTTTGTCTAACGTCTCGGAAAAGCTGATAACGACACGCAGCTCCTGAGCTCTGCAGCTGCAGCTCCAACTCTCACACTCTGATGCGGCCCTTATATTGCCAGATCGAAGTTTGGTTCCTACATTCTGGTGTTGTCTGCTCCTCCCACGTTCTTTTCTTTGGGAACCTCCCCTGACCAGAACCCCCCTCAGCCCAGGGGCCGACAGTGCCCTTGCCAGCTTCTGTTTTACAGACTCTGATGAAAGGAGAAGGGAGATTTG